AAATAGTTAAACCCTGTCAAAACAGCAGAGACATTCCCAGCCATGTTTGTGAGTTCAAATTGTATTGATCGAAACTGCTCACCATCTATGACTTCTATAGCATCATGGCTGCTTTCTTTCATCATTCCTCTCAAAGAAATACATTTTTATTTTTAGGAAACTTGCCCTGAGGCAAAGACTAGAAATTGTTCTCGAGCAGATATTGTAATTAAGGATTGATCTGCACAGTGGGGAGATGTTGGATGAATCAGACACTGACATTTCCTTCTTTCCACTCTTTCTTATGACTGAGAGCCTGGATTCCTTGCCAACAAAATAAGACACTTAACTATGTAGAAGATGTGGTGTTAGGAATTTAGATACCCTTGATTGTCAAAGCCCCACAGGTGTTTCCAGCTGGCAATTTATTCTCTGTTTTGTCATTGGCTTTAGCAGAAGCCTCGGGCAAACATTCTCCTGACACCTCAAGCAGGTGCCTGAGGATGGAAGTGGGATGAAAGCAGGCTGAAAATTTTGGTTTCATTCAGCAGAGAATACGTGTTCCCAATTACCTGATGTTGAAATAGTGATAAATATTCACTCCGCAAACCTGTGGTCACACAGGGAGGTCTTTGGCTTGTCTTCAATGCTTTGATTCCCTCCTTGAAACATATTTTTGTATTAAGAATTGCTCAGCAGTGCGCCAGGATTGGGATCCCCAGTGAAGGCATGAAGCCTTTTATTTAAATGTCCCAAGTTTAATGCCAGCTCTAAATAAATTTAGTAAAAAAAATATGTCAACATTTTTCCCACAGCAAAGTCTGGGTCCTGAAGAAATTTTTGCACGTAGGGATATAAGAGAAGTATATCTTTTGCCTTTTTCCTTCATGCAATAGTAGAAGATAGGAGAAGAGCACCTTAATCTGCTTTGCCATGCTAGATATTTGCTTTGTTGAAAAATTATTTCCATAATAAATCAATTAAAGTATATAATTAATGAGCCACAGGCATTCAGAAAAAGTATAAGATGTCTTTCAAAATAGCACCTGGTTGAGAAAGATTAAAAACGCACCAGAAAAAAACCAAAAATAATTTGGGTTTTGTGCCACCTATCAAGCTCTTTGTGAGCAATATGAAACTATCTATCAATTATATATAATCATGCTGTCACATACAACAGTGAAATGCAAAAGGCCAGAAAATAACAGCAGAGAATATCATCAATAACACTTGTGTGCTTTATTGGACCCAAGACTGAGATGATCAACAGAGATACAGGTCATTATCTACAAATGCTTATGAAATTCATTTTGGTTACAATGAAGAGGGAACAGGAAGATAAGCCTCAAAATAAATTGGAATTTAATCCAAGAGTTCTGCAGATTGACTTAAGACAGTAAACATCTTGTGCTCAGTGAAGCCTCAAACAACAACTATCAGCTTGATACAGCTGGAGATATTCCTTAGCAATATATCCAATTCATGAATATTATAAAATATCAATGCAACTAAATAAGCATTTTCTTCCAATACTTTTTTATTTTAAGCTGGGAGAATTGATCATATCAAAGTATTCTAAATCTGCCAAGAAAGAAGATTCATGAACAACCCTTCCCCTGGATGAAAGGGCATTAGCTCTAATGGGCTCTTCACAGGAAATGGAAGGAGGAACTGAGTTTATAACTCTGCAGATCAAAGAAATCAAGGTATCCTGAACCCCTTTTGTGAACAGAAGGACAAAATTTTGGTATTTACCTGCTTGACTTCAGGAAGCTCTATGAAGCTTTTTTATGAAACCTCTTTAGCAATACTTTTTGGCACCACTGATTTTAAGTTCTGAGTTTTCTGGCTTTAAAACAGGCCAAATTTTTTTATATATCCAAGCAGAGAATTTACTTAAGGGGCTACAATTATGATTTGGAAAATGAAAATCGTGGTCAGCTGATTCAGCATTATTCAGGGAAGAGTTCCCTTCAGTGCCTGGCCAAGCCATCACTTGTATCTTGATTGCAGAGTTTCCCTCTGGTGCTGCCTCTCTGGCAATGCAGAGTTTTTTGCACTTTTCAATTACAGTCAGGGCTGCCACAATTCCCAGCTAGACAATCCTCCAGAATATATTTATTTAGTGCTATGGCAGGTTTTTTTCAGCCTTTTCCCCTGCTTTACTTCATGTATTCACTTTGTTCCTTTGTTTGGTTAGACCAAAGTGAAAACCTCTCTGCCCCCAAACCCAAAAGAAAATCCCCTTTTTTGTAAATTTTGTTCCACACTTTGGCACAACCAAAACTCTGCTATTTCCACACAATAATTCCTCTGCCAACTCTAAAGGCCCAAGCTCCTTCTGACTCTATAGATATATAATATTTTCCAGAATGAGCATGGATACAGTGAGATTTAGACCTACAAGGTAGATGCAACCCCCTCTAAGAAATCACCCGAGTCCCACCTCAAGCAAAATTTCTCCTTTTTTCTCCTTTTTTGTTGGTTCATTTAATTTGTGAACCAAAAAGAAAAATCCGTTGTGTGAAAATGATCCAAGTAGAAGACAAGCCTCACTTCTGTGCAGGAGGGAGGTGGTGGTGGAAAAGTTGCATCAGAAAGGTAAAGCAGCAGACCCCAGAAATGGCACCTGGTGCGTCACTGCCTCTAACACTCACTAGCTTGTGAAGCTGTCAGCTCTGGGGAAAATAAACTGAGGTGGACTTGAAGAACCATAGAAATCCACATTTTTATGTCTTTTTGGCTATATTGCATAAAAAATGTTTAGCAGCTCTTCTTTCCTCCTGAAGACAAATAGTTCTTACACGCTGATTTTAGTGATTTTGTCGTTTTGTACCTCTTTTGTGTTATTCAAAGTCATCCTGACCTTCTGAATACCGTGAATGAAATTTGTGACTGTGCCTGTATGACTGCTTCAAAAGCAAGGCTGTATTTCCTTTTTAAATCTTGTGGGAGAAAGAGACCAGAAGAAACTTGATCCATTACAAATGGAGATGTTCTGAGCCATTAAACCAGAAAAGACAAAATCAGAGGCAAGAGCAGAACAAAAACCTGGTCACAAATTTTTGGAATGAATTGTTCAATAGGGAGTTTTCCTAGAATTCTTTGATAAAATGGAGTTACAAGTCATATGACTTAAATGTTTCTTAATCAAGAATAGTCATCAAGAAGATGTGATAAGAGCAGAGAAGGAATTAATGGGAAGGTCTGTGCCACAACAGTCTCTAAATCACTTTGAATATTTTTCTGTAGAGCAGGCACATTATTCAGTGGGTTTTGGATGTCAGATGTCTTTAAGTAAAAGCTTGAGACTCTAGAAAAGCAAAATAACCTTAAAGCAAGCTCTTATTTACTGGTGGTGAAAAGTGTTCTAATGGATTGGTTTTCTTGTTCATTGAAAGCCAAACATTTTTCAGAAATCATTACAATAAATCACATTTCTGGTGTAAAAGCTCAGCAGGTTCCTTTTTTGGCACCATGAGCAAGGCACATCTTATTGATTTTTACAGAAGTAAAGATGGAAGAAACTTTCATTTTTAATACTGCTTCTTATTTTAGTGTCTTATTCATATACATGGATCAACCTCACCCAAAACATTGCTTAAACTTGTTCTTCAGGACAACTTCTATATTTTTTTCTTTTTCTATTTCTTTTTGGAAGGGGGAGAAAAAATGCCAACATTACAGCATTCTTGGTGTCAAAAGCATTCATTCTCTAAATAAAATTATTTCAACTCCCTTTCAGCTAGTCCATGATGAGAAGAGGGGAAAATCCAATTTATTCTGCCTGAATTTCAGACTTCCCTGAAAAGTGTTAATGACAAACAAAGGCAGTGTGGGAGTGAAAGGGAAAAAAAAAAACAACAACCCCAAAAAAAGTGTACCAGACATCAACAATTTATAGTAATTCTATCAATGATTTTTAATAATTATGTAATTATGAAGTTACTGAAAAAAATGCATCATTTTTACTCTAAAATTATTTTCTTTTATCTTTTCCATCACTTAATTACCTTGATTTGATTATTTGAGTGTTTAGTAAAGCCTCTAATCTCTGGACTTCACTAAGTACTGCAAAAATATTAAATACACTGTTAAGTCATCCCTGGATATAAATTAATTATTTGGATGTTAAAAACAGGTTTATCAGCAAAACTAGAAAAAAAAAAAATTCTCAATGATAGTTTGGTAAGCATCCATGCAAATTCTTTACACTTTATGTATTTCTGGTGGGGTTTTGTGTTGCCATGTGAATACTCAGCCTGTTAGTCAGAATTTTTCACACATAACCTTTCATCTCTTGGGTCTGAGCTTCTTCTGAATTGCTGGAGTTTTATGCCACAGTGACTCCATTAGTTATTTCCTCATGGAGTCCCCTGGATTTAAAAAACTTTGCAGTAAATTCAGTTGGCTGCCTGGGGAGTTGTGGTGGAAATGCATCTTGGTGAAGATGGTGAAAAGTGCTGGATGCTTGACCCTGTGACAATTTGGGGGTTTTGTTGCTGCTAAATTTCAAAATATGTTTCAACATTTGCTTGTTTTTAATTTTAGAAAAATCCCTCATAAAAGCCCAGTTAATAAGATGTATTAATCTAATATTTGCCGTGAGATTTTCTTTATCCTGCTCCTCTTTTGTCATGTTTAATTGCTGTCATGGAGTGCATTTCTGGCTGCTCTTTTGTTTCCTTTCTTCCTGGTATTTACAATTATATTACTATGTGTTTATTTGTGTGTGTGTTGGCATTCAAGGTATGAAAAACAAATTTGTGTATCAGGCAACAGAGGAGAGACTGTGCAGCCTTCCTGCCACTGATAGAATCACTATTTCCATCCCTATTGCTAAATATTCTTGGTGTATTCAGAATAAAAATACAATGGCTTTTCTTGATTTTTTTTTCCTTGAAGACTCATTGGACTTCTCCCTTTCAGGAAAACACAGCTCTGTTTTGTTTTTTTGGTTTTTGTTTTTGTTTTTGTTTTTGTTTTTGTTTTTGTTTTTGTAAAAATGCACATTTTTCTTGACCTTGGGTTAGTACTTTCTTTTATATTGAAATCATGTCCTTTTGATGAAATTGTTTTTCAGTATTTTCCTGTAAAATTAAAAAGAAAAAAAAGATAAAATGCTAAAGCATTGCAAAACAGCCACTGAACAGAACATTGAACTCAGCAATATTGGTTTTGCTGAAGTTTGTGTATTTTTTTCTTGCCATCACTTTACAGAATTCTAACACAGACTCTTGAACTCCAGTGGGATTCAAAATAAGATAAACTCCAGTTATTCTTAACCCTATGTTTTGAAAATTGGTATTTTTTTTTTAGATTATATCAAAATGGAAGTGTAAATTCTCATGTAACTGTGAGCTAATTTTCAAATTGTCTCGGAGTTTTGGTTTGCAAATCTCTTCATGTTTTGTAGGGTTGGGTTTTTTTCCTTATATTTGTAATGAAAAATTCTCTGCCTGTTTTCAGGTAATGTAATTAAAGAATCAGCATTTTAGTTCAGGCAAGCCTATTGTTAAAAATAAAAAAGCGAGACTATAAAAAGAGGTTACTTTAGAAGGAGGCAGAAACAGCAAAACAGGTTTTTAGATCAATTAACCTTCCCATAAAAAAAGATAATAAAACCTGTGTAAGTTTCTATTTTACAGCATTCTACAGTACAAACAGCTACTTTTTCTTGAGAAGTTATTTATTAAGTAAGATAAAATTGGAAATCTTTTCTTTAGAACACACAGCTAAATCACTATTTTAAGAGCTGGGAGACACTCCAAATCTGTACAGGACTTGGGACTGGGGAGAGATTTTTTGACTTGTGATTGTTTCTGCTGCTTTATCTGCTTCAATAATATGACTTTTATCTGTGTGGTGTTGCAGAGTCTGGTTTTTGAGATGCAGCAATTAAAGTAAAGCAAATTTACAGTGCTCAGATTCAGTCTTTCCAAGCTGAAAGACTGGACCATGAAATTCCAACCATGAGCTGCCTGTGCAGCTTCACTGCAGCTTTCCGTGAGGTCCCATCTGCCACTCACTCACACCCGTGGCTGCCCAAAAAGAAAATATCCAGCCTATCTTGGAAGTGATATGTGTTTTGTAGGTGATCACAACAATAAAGTCTGGGACAACTCAGATTATAATCAGAACCAAAGAAAGATAATTATCCACAGATCAAACCCCATTTATAATTCCCTCAACAAAATCATTCTGGTTTTATTTTAAATATGGGTTGTTTAGATTTTCAATACTTTTGTATTAATAATATTTAAAACGTTTATAAATTATAACCTTCAATAAGTTGAGAGTTAATAAAATTACACAAAGTTAAGTTTTACAACATTTAGGTCTAAGTACGCTTAAAATATATTTTATCACTTTGATATCCTGTTAAAATTAAGTTTACTATTCCTTCCTATCAGAGTTCCTTCATGCCAAGTTTAAGTATTGTTTAATATAAATTATCCTAAGTTTAAAAGTCATTTGTCCAAACTGTGAGATATATAATCATTTTCTTAGAGAAATAAGACAGCTCCAATCAAAACAACTGAAAAAATATTGATACACCTGCTTGTGAGTGACAGAAGATCCAGTTCATTATATCATCAATTTAATCAAAAAGTTCTATTTTTCATAGAACTTTTTCATTACATTTTTATTACATTTTTCTTTTTTCATTAGTCTCTACTATTTTTGTCTTCTTAAAATAACATCAAAGAATAGTGACTGTTATTAAACTGTTTAAAGTTTTTATTCTACTGTCTCGATATATAGATGTTTAAAAATATTATCTTCAATTTCTCAAACACCTATTACTAATACATTAATTATATAATGTAAATGTACTGATTTTTATAATAAACATTATTTATAAATATTGTTATTATAATTTAATATAATAACAGCTCTCATCTATTTTACCATCTCCTTATGTGATCACCTACAAAACACGTATCACTTTCAAGATAGGCTGGATATTTTCTTTTTGGGCAGCCACGAGAGTGTGAGTGAGTGGCAGATGGGAAGGACTTCATGGAAAGCTGCACAAGCAGCTCATGGTCAAGATTGAGCTTGGAAAGACTGAATTTGAGCAGTGTAAATTTGCTTTACTTTACTTACTGTGTGTATTTCAAAAACCAGAATCTGCAACAGCACACAGACAAAATTCCTCACTTTCACTGTGAGGAATGCAGCACAGGTTGAGCCATTTATTATAAGTATTATTTCCTCTTTATCAAGTGGAACATTTGTGTGGTTTTCACATTTTCCACAGGAGACTCAGAGGTGGTTTCAGTGCTTCCATTGGATCATCTAAAAGGAGTGAAGCCCCAAGAGCAGCCAGTGATTATGATTATGTGCCATAACACCACTGCCACTCTTGGAACTGGGATTTTAATTCACTGATCAGTGAGTGCTAAACCCACTGAGCCCAGCCCACATGTGAGCCCAGCCTCACACTGAGCTGGAGATTTTTGTTAACTTTCAGTTTGATGGCCCTCATTTTTCTTTGAAAAACTGGGCTTGTTTGGAGTCCTTGGAGGAATATAACTCTTCCCAGGGCAATCTCATTTTGGCTTCTCTTCACAGGCTCCTCAGATGCTCAGGAGGGGGAAGATAAAAAGCACCATTTTTGTCAATAGATGCTTTGATAGGCAGGATCAACCTTAATCTCCCACCTAAATCCTGCCTTCCACCTCTGATCTGATGGGGAATGGGGAGCTCACTCTGTTGGGTCTGAAGGTGGCTGCAGGATGAACTCCAAATATCAGTGTGGCTGTGTCTGGAATGTCCCCTCTGACAGAGAGGTGTGACTGATTTTGCAGCTAAGGATGAGTCTAAATAGGAACTGTCATGTGTACGAGGAATCTTCTGGGATTTGAATGGCAATTTATCTCAGAGGAAGTTTTCTTTCTCTTTGGCTGATCTGAGTGTGTGGCAAAACTTTACCTGGAGGGTGCCAGAGCAGTGGAACAGGTTAACCAGAGAGATTGTGGAGTCTCCTGGCTGTGCAATCAGCTCCAGGTAACCTTGGTTTAGCAGGGGAGTTGGACTGGGTGATGTTCAGAGGTTCCCCACAACCCCAACTATTCTGTGATTGATTCTGTGATTCTGATTTGGCAATTCTGTGATCCTGATTTGGCAGTTCTGTTATCCTGCATTCTGTGTGCTGTCCTGTCAGAGGAAATGTGGGGCTGCCAAAGACCTCAGTCTGAAGCCCTGCTTCACCAGCTGAAGCTGCAAATGCTGCTGATTTTGGTTTTGCAGTTCTCCCTCTCTGATCTTGAACCTGATATGGGTCATTGGATAGACCAGACATTCCACTTGTTATTATAACTTTTATTATAACTTTTATTATTTTTCCACTTTTATTATAAACTTGTCTGTAAGGTTTTCACTTGTGGCTACAAAAGACCACAAAGCAACAAAGCACCTTTGAATTTCTTTTTACTGTTCATACAAACTATGTGAGCTTTAATCAATTTTTTAAATGAACTGTGAATCTCACTCTGCTGTAACCCCTCTGAAGTTAAGCCATGGTGTGATAACTCTAGACTGAAGTAGCAAAAGTTGTGCCACAGAGTGACAACTCTAATTCCTATTCCTACCAGTGAATTTTGAAATATGATGGTCCAGATCCTCTAAATATTTGTGTATCTCTATAGTCTTACTCACGTGAGACAAGCACACATATGTAGAAAAGAACCTAAGCAGCAAGGGAGAAAATGCAGAGTTAAAAATAGCCAAGTACTTCAGCAGTTATTGCTGTGTTGATTTCAATGTGGGAAAAAAAAAGAACAGTTTTCCTTTGTCCATTTGCTGAATGATATATTTTTGGCTTTAAGCTGTTCAGCTTTGCCTCGTGCCACAGCACAAAATAAAGTGTCAAGTCCAAATATCCAGACATTCTCTGTGTTGGACAGTCATAGATGGCTTACCAATAAATATTCCTGTCACAAATACCAACTTGAATTTTTTGGGAAGTAATTCATTGCACAATCAATCCTCTAACAGTTGCAGCTGCAAGACACAACTTAGCTTTTTTCCTCGCTAATAACAGGGCTGTACTTAACTGCTCTGAATGCCACCACCATTCTGCTCATCTGAGAATAACATTTTCCATCCCCCCACAAATTAATCCTGGCATTTTCTGTGAGCATCTTATTGTGTTACGAGGAAATTTAGAGAAATGGTGTGGGAAGGAACGTTGTGGAAGAGGGGAATCATTGTCATTCTTCTTCCCAAGGCAGTCTGCAGTTATTTTGCAGTTGCTCTGCAGATTGTTGGGGACAGAATGGCTTTTAGCTTTGATCCTGGTGTACTCCAGTACCGCCTGCAGGTGATGATGTGATGGCAGGGAAGGAAGGAGAAGTTAATCTGTGAACTAGAAAAGAATATGTAATTCTCCCAATTCTTTAAAAAAATAAAATTAAAATGCTCCTTTTTGGTGACCACCAGCTCTGTATTCTTGACATATTCACTCCTTCTCGCATATGAACATCACCTCAGTATTACCAACAATAGTTCTGTGTAATACTTGCCTCTTCCACAACACTTTGTGTACAGCTCTCCTAAAACACTTTGGGAAATCAAATGGAAGTTCTAATTTTTAAAGGAAAATGTGAGTTGCACATTGATTTTGAGACAACAATATTGTTGAATATCTTTTCTGTATGTGGAAATTATAAATATTTTTTTCATATATGATATTAAAATTAGCTATGTAAATTTTATTTGCAGCCTCTGGGAAAGTATAAAGACCAGAGTTGTTATTTATTCCTGTTCCCTACAATCCAACATCTATTCCTACTCAACATTAAAGAAGCCATTGATGAAAATCCACCTAAAAAAATGAATTCAGATCCCTCATTGGCACTTGTTCTGCTTCCATCAGTCAGTACTGGTGTGATCACAATTGTTTTCTCCACTTCAATCCTGTCTCCTAATCAAATGTTCCCTTAAGTTTTTAATGAAATAGCTGAGGAGAAAGAGTTAGGAATGACAAAGAGACAAGCTCAAGACAAAGGCTGGCATGTTTATGGAAAAGAAAAAAAAATCATTGAGAAAAAACCCCACCTCCTTAAATGACCCTCAAGGAACC